ATTTCAATTTTTCGATCTTTTTCGTCGCGCTGTGATGATGTCACATACGCAATTTCGTCGACTGCGCTTTTGTGGAACGCGCTTTTGACGGGTCACGGTATACAAAAGCCAATATGTGAAATTCTTCTAGAACAAGGGTGTCAAATTCAAGGCCCGGGGGACAGATCCGGCCTGCAGGGTGCTTAAGTCTGGCCCAGGGGGCAGCCCTGGAAACAGCAAAGGACCAGCCCGCGGTGCTTCTGCCAGCAAAAACGGAGTTTGGCAGCCCATTTCCGCTGGCAGAGCGCTCGGGCCTCCATAGGTGCCCCTGACCTGAGCAATGTCAAGCTGGCCACACCCATCATGGCCATGCCCGAGGTCAAACACAACCCTGATGTGGCCCTCAATGAACTTGAGTTTGACACCCCTGTTCTAGAATATATAGTGTATTATCAGACAATTGCTCCAAGTGGACAGTGAGGAGATATGTCATCCAGCTTTCTCTCACATAGGGTATTCATGAAAACAATGCCTAATAAGGATCCTCTATGACAAGGGTGGGGAACGATGGCTCTTTTATAACTTGTATTTGTATTTGTATTTAATAAATTTATAGGCCGCCCAATCCCGAAGGACTCCGGGCGGCTTACAGAAAGTGGCATCATGTCTGGCTCAGGAATTCTGGGAGCTGAAATCCACAAGTCATAAATGGGCCATCGTTCCCCATTTCTGATTTATGGAGACATTTTGCTTCCTGTATCAACAGTTAGCTCTATTTCTGTGAGATTTTGCCCTGGAGTGGATGCAATTCAATTGTTAAGTGAGTAATTTTTAACTTGTAAGCTGCTTCTTTTTAAGAAGAAACTTACATATTATAAACAATTTGCAATCTAGTCTCTGGTTTACTTGCAACATTAACTTTCAGCTGCCAGGTCACTTAACTTCTCCAAAAGGTATGTGGGCTTACATGTGATTGTTTCTGTTTTATATTTTAAGGGAAAATGCTCAAAGGGACCTTTGGTTCTCTAATAATGCTGCTTCTCTGAGATAATATGCTCTACCAGCCTCAAACCTAAGTCAGTTGAGTCAACGATTGATAGAACATTCTTGAAAAAGACATACCTTGGTGCTTTCTTCTAAGTCCTTGGTATTCAAAAGTGCATGGTTAATTCTAAAAACGATCCAATCAAACAGCGCACTGTACAATGATTTGGCCATGGAATTTCGTACTGTTATAGCCTAGGAAATCAAAAGAAATAACTGGAAATCAAGCCAAATACTAATTATATTGTAATACTAATTATATTAACATCTATTTCCGGCTCTCCTGGATTATTGTCAATATGCATTTGCACAGATAGCAATAGCAATAGTATATAGACTTATTTACCGCTTCACAGGGCTTTACAGACCTATCTAAGCGGTTTACAAGAGTCAGCCTATTGCCCCGAACCATCTGGATCCTCGTTTTACCCACCTTGGAAGGATGGAAGGATGAGTCAACCTTGAGCCTGGTGAGATTTGATCTGCCAAACTGCAGGCAGCCGGTGATCAGCAGAAGCAGCCTGCAGTACTGCACTCTAACCACTGTGCCACTGCAGCTCTTAATTTTACTGCTTCAAAATTTTCAAGGCGGCGGATGCTGAGGTCTGCACTTCAGCCTCGCTGTTCTATGACTAGGCATGTATATTGCTGCAAGCTCATACAGTTTCACTTTATGCTTGAATGATATTATAAAATTATGTCAACACGGTATCTCTGAAGTGGAACAAACATATTCAGAATGGGAGGAAGATAGAAGGTAGGTGGATATTATTAGCAAATTTTAGTTTCGATGTTACAGAAGAAAAGGTGAAATCTTGTGCCTTCTCTTTCCTCATTGTTTCCCGTTTTCTGGAGGGAAGAGCTCAAGTGCCTCTCATTTTAACACTAGCAGATTTCAGAACTGAGTTCTCATTGTGATTAAAGACAATATGGATGTTGCTTCTGATGGATGCTGCCTAAGCTGTTATATAGAACACAATCTTTAAATCTTCAGTGTATCTAAAACAAAGTGATTCCAAGCAGCTAAAAATACAGTACAATGTGATCAGTTCAGGTTTTTGCACCAATAGAGAAATCTTTCAAATGTCCATGAAGGCCCAGTTCATTGGAGTGTGCATTATAACGGTCAGTGTGCTCACCAAAAGCAGCTATGGAATGGCGGCAAAAGTAGCTTCTTGAACGGCAATAAGCTAAGCAAATCACATAGAAAGCCTTTAGTGCGTATAGTAATACGTACTATAAAAATCCACACCAAGGTTGGCCTTCGTTTCTCTGTGTCTGCTTTGCTATAAACATCCTTCCACTTAAAAAAAATAATCCAAATGTGTCAAAAATCACTTAGTCGCTATCTTAGCTATTGCCTGCATTTCCTTTGCGGAGTCTCACGTTTTGAATTCTTGAAGCTAGAACAACCTGTTCTCCATCAATCATACTTCAACCCACACAACTATATTGACAGGCAAGGAAATAAAAACAGGAACAGAACCTTTGCAAATCTAGAGAACCATTTTCTATGATTTGGCTCTGCCGGTTATTGGAATGTGGTGCTTTCTATCCATTTTATTTTCTTGTAGCTGACAGAAATGTCATGTTTTCCTGTAGCTTGCAGAAAACATGGAGACAGCTAAAACCAACCTTAACTTAACAGAGTAGTTTAGCTATACTGTTGAATTAGCACTTAAACATATACACTTTCACCCCGCAAAAAAGGAACAGATGGGTGTCATATTATCTTCTCTTCCCTCCAGTTTCTTCTTCTCAGAAACTTCTTCTGTTTCCTACACTGATGTCATTTCTTACATGTGCTGCTAAAGTAAGTGGCCAAGACCACTATACATGCAAAAACCACTCCAGAGTGACTCATACAAGAACTGTGACCATTTTTCAACCTCAACTATGTCTTAATACAGTTCTGTATATTATTAATACAGCCGTTTGCAAAACCATTTGCTTCTGTACAGAAAGGAAAATCTTTTAATCTTAGAAGACAGAGTCTGCATAGTATTTTACATTTTAGCTGATTCAAGTTTCCCCCTCGGGTCATATTTCAAGGAGAGCATTGTATCATAGCGCCTTTTGTTAACAACCAGATCTTCATTCCAGAAGTCCATCTTTGGTCAAGAACAGCCCATCTATGCAACTGTTCATGAAGTCGCCATCTGCTAGGAAAAGTACGTATTCTTATTTACCACATTTACTGGTTTGATAAATTCCGGCATGACAGCATGGGCCTGACTTCCTTTCCAGCAGATAGCAATAGCAATAGCAGTAGACTTATATACCGCTTCATAGGGCTTTCAGCCCTCTCTAAGCGGTTTACAGAGAGTCAGCATATTGCCCCC